CAGCAACTGTGGAGATTTTATATCGTGGTCGTGATATAATTTGTAAAAGTATAAAAGCTGTTCGTCATGGAGATATTTCATCAAAATTGGCTTGAGACAGACTTCCCAGTTTTGAAGCTTGGTGCGGGGAGAGAGTGGAATCCGTCGCCGCGGTAGTTCATATTCATCTTGTTGTTGTTGTTGTTGCTGCGTTGTATTATATGTATAAGAAGACTCTTGTTGTATTAGGTGAAGCGCCTGATGTTGTTCCAGCTGTTGCGCATCCGATGAATGCTGTTGTTCTTGTTCATCGCCGCCACCGCCACCAGCGCCATAGAACGACAACGAAGATGAGGATGAATTCATCAACCCTATCGGAGTCGAAGAGAAGGATGACGATATCGACGAAGCTACAGAAGTTGCTGTTGTTGGGGTCATCGATTTCACTCTGGAAATGGATATCGACGACGGGTTGATTGGAGTGCAGTAGTATTCGTGCACTGGAACCAGGTCGTGTTCATCATGTTCATCTTCCAAATCCACAAGAGAAATTATGTCAGGTCGGCCCATGGAGGCTATCGTCTTTGTCACCATCGCGGGATCTTCAGTGGCAGCAGCAGTAGAAAGCGCTGATGGATCCGTCACTAGGTTTCCCCCTGCATTTGCACTCGCTTCTTTTCTTGTGATTGTTTTCCCAAACACCAAAGTTTCTTCTTCCTTTGTTGGAGAATCGGCTGTTTCATGAGGTGACATTCTTTATTCTGAATGAATCCTCAATTTCTAGATGGTGAAAAGAGGAAAAACCAACCAAGAAAGTGATGATTTCTTCAACACGCAACAAAACAGTCGCTGGTGAAGTAATAATCCACGATTTTGTTGGATGAAGAGTTCCTTGTTGTTGCGCCGTGGTATGGTTTCTGTTCTTTTGTTTTGGCTATTTTTACACGTCTGCTTCTATTGCATTGTCTGTCCTACATCCGGTCGGCATACATAGCGCCAGCCTATCCCGTGAGAAAGGCGAAAAATTGAATTGAAAAAGTGGGAGTGAGTGGCATGCGTAGAGTAGACCTCACTCGAAGGAGTCGAAATTGGAAGCAAAATCCACAATATCCATTCCATCCAAACTGCATCCCAACCTAGGATGACCTCTACTACCAGTAATGCTTTACTACTAAGGAAAGCAAGAAATCGAAACATGAATATGCTTCATTATTGATTGATTCATTCATTCAAAACAGCACCAAACTAAAGCGGAAGGTTCAAGAATAATCCTGCTATGGCGGCAGTCAACATTTTCGATTTGTGGATAGGATAGTGAGCAGGGGGCCGTGCCGCATGCCTGTTTCCTTCCGAACGAATCAATCGCCATCCGTGCTCGTCATGATATTCTCTTGTCGGTTGGAAGACCGGTACTAGTACTGTCTGACAGATTTTGAAAATTTCAGATTGCCCATTTGACCAATCAAGAAGATCCACTTATTGCGCTGATCTGAAAATTTTATGCACCGTAGAAGATGGACGTACGCCAAGTATCATATCGCAATCTTGCGCTTCGTCTCATTCTTTTTCAGATTATGGCTCTCTTCTTTCTAAATGGAAATAAGCCTGAACAATCTGAGAGCGTTCTTATTGAGGCACCACGAACCATGACGAATACCATCATTGACAGCGATGGAAACGAGGCTTACCGAGCCTTCATGAACAAGTTAGCTCAGTGCAATGTTGATCAATATGTTGACTTGCCCATGATTGCCGTCATGGGAGATACGAGCAGTGGAAAATCCAGTCTC